GAAGTCCAGTAGTAACTAGATTCCACTAAGGTCAGAGTCCTTGATATACCATGATGACTGCCTGCAGTATTCGCGTGACATTTTTCTAGCACTTTCTTCTTCTCCTCATCTGAAAAAACTACCAAGCGCATTTGTTTTCTGTCTTTTCCTACATAGAATAACTTATTTTCTGGAAGAAAACAAAACAAACGCATTATGTTAATACTAAGAATTCTCTGGCTGTTTTGCCAATTGAATTATTTGGCATGCTTAGTTATAGGTTTTAATCAAACTGATTTTACCCATCTTTTTCAGTTGTGCACAGGTCTGTATTAAATATTTTACGAAGGAATATCTGGTCTCTCCCAGCACAAAAGAAACTGCATTCCCTCATATAAATTCTCTGAAGTACAACCTGTTGTTATTTTAAATGAAGCACATTGCTTGCCTGCTATAACTGCTTCACCAGCTGGTTTGTAACACCACTTCCTCTCTACCCTTCCCTTCTCAGAGTACTACTTCAAGAGGTAGAATAGGAAGAGCAGGCATAAGCACAAGAACAGAGCTGTGAAATGGAACAGGGAGGAACTCTAGGATCAAGGAAATGCAGCACGTGGCAAATCTATCTCTGGATTTTACTCTACTCTCATATATACTCTTCATGTGATGCAGTAAATGTTCCTTGTCTGGAACTGAAGATCAGGATTCATCTTTTAGGTTCCTATGACTCATGGCCCCTAACTACTGCAGGTTTCACCAGGAAATAAAGTGGACTTTAATTGTTTCTTTAAATATAACTTAACCAGGTGAAAAGAGGCCAAACTAGATCACGCCAACTATTTCTACATGCCAACAAGGATAGACATGAGAGCTTGCAATTATAAAGCAAGTACAAGGAAATCTGGTGGCAAGCACAGTCTTACTGTATTCTGATAGCAAAAAAATAAAAACAAAACCCATTCCCCAAAATGGTAAGAGCATTTTTTTTTACCTTTGAAAACAAATTTTTTGGCTGCTCTTCTTATTCCACTTCTTTCACTCGACAGTGTTGTTGGATGATACTCTCCTGTTCGTTTGTAATGTGAAATCTGTTTCAGATGAAGACCACCATTCTTCCCACTACGGACCATTTTTCATCTAAGTAAAACAGATAAATGCTTTCAAATTTATTTGCTGTGACTTTCACTCCAAGGAGACCAGATCCCACCCAACCCCAGTATTCCCTTCTGCCTCAACATCAAGAGATAAAGTCAAACCATAAGATCCTCCGTTAACCTCCCTCTCTTGGACATGGACAAGGCTGTTGCATTTCAGTTTTACCTAATGGAGCCACAGGGCTTTTTTCTTTGATTTTTCCTGAGTGTGAGTGAAGCCTAGACATTTTACCTGGCACTGGGTTTCTAGACATACTCTCCGGTGCAGATTCTAATTCTAACACCCCACACTGAGAGCTGTAACCCCAACTCCCCGGTCCAACTGCTTAGACTATGAGATTAGTGTGAGTCTCCCAGTTGATTTCTCAGAGTTCCAACTTTGAAGGCCCTCTTTTTACAGTTTACCTCTTCATGAACACGGTCCAAGTCTCCTCTCTGAAATACAGCCCTCTGGTTGTTTCTCATGCCCTAACTTCGTTTGTCCAACTGGACCACCCAATCTCTGTGGCTTTTAAAGAAGCTGGAGTTCTAAAGAAGTTGGAGAATCCAGGTTTTAGCTAAGATGCAGTTTGCTCTGCTCAGGCCAATTTTTATTTAGGTGCTGCCTCATCACAGATGTGCCTTCACACCATCCCCCTGTCCCTCAACAAGAGGAATACAAAATAAAGATACAGGAAATTAAAAAAAAATTCAAAACAGTATTCACAAGGTATATATGTTTCCCAAATTATCAGGGCATGAAAAGTTACATCCTAACTAATATATCTAAGGATATCCTCCAGATTAAGTTTACACTTTCTAACTAAAATCTATTTTTCTCGGCAATTTTATCACCTATAAATTTCTGGCCATTTCTGACCACTTTACGCCATTGTACTCGTCACTACATTCCACTATTTTTTACGTAATGTGCACAAAGTCTATCGCATTTTGTTGATTCCTTTACCCATACATAATGTTGTTTTGTAAATTTTATTTTTAAAATTCCATACAATTGGGCTTCCAACACATCACTTGTAGATAAACTGAAGCCACCAAGAGAGAGATTTCTATTTGATTTTTAAAGACCTGGATGACTCAAATACAAGGGTTTTGCTGTCTGTTCTAAGCATTTATACAGACAGTCTCCTTCTTGAAGGAGGAGGGAAAAACAGGCAAAAGTAACTCCTCAAACAGACTGCCATGAAAGCTTGTTTTGCTCACTAATCTGCTAGGCAAACGGAATTCTGAAATCCCAAGTCAGACTGCGCTTCAGGCAACAATTACTTTCCGACACAGGCTGATTTTCCTCTGTTCATGAAAACTGAAATGCCATTAATAAAATGCATCATCTGTGCAAGAAAAATCTTGGCTCTAGCAATAAGTTTCAGAATAATTACCATTTAATGACAAGTGAAGGGCAGAAACATCCATGCAAGCTCCATGAATTTTTTTAAGCAGCTATTTTTATAAAGCTGATCCAGTAGCAAGAAACAAGTCCTCAAAATACCACAGTTTGATCCTACTCCCACTATTTCATTTGGAACAAAATGAAGCCCTGATATTGGTGTGCCACATATATCATTCCTTACTACAGGTAGGTCATTAGTTTTGGTACATAAGCAATTTTCCCCTCTTACCTTTGTACTGAGTCACAAGACTAGACTTCATGATCATACATAATATGACAGATAGTCTTAATGTTTATACTATCATAGATGATTAAGAAAAACTGACACCAGCCAGTTATTTTGGAAGGGGTGGACTGTACCTTGCATTGTGACACTGCTGCCCATTTCAACATTAAAAAATTATGCCAGTGAGTTTTGTTTTTCAGTTTGCTGACTCTAACTGTTCAGGTGAGGGTGTAAATACATAAATATATTGAGCAAGTGATACTGCATGTTTGCAGTCAACTTGATTCCATTAATATCAATAATGTGCACCTAAGCTACATGTTGCTGTGGCATCCCACTTTCCTTAAACAAAAGCATCTGTTGTAATGTTTGGAAGTGTTGTAGAAGGCTGTATGATAGAAATGTGTTTTAATTCAGAAAGAGGTTTCAATCCAGAAGACACATGAGTATGTGCTTAAATGTTTTGTTAGTTTCAGACCTAGAAGAAAAAGCCAAATAAGGTTTACTTTGTAACCATTTGGAGTGTTCTTCATCCCTTTCCAATTCTTCCCTCCTTGCCATTTCCTTTTGTTCACAGCAAATTGGGGCATTCTCTGTTTTTGTTATAAGCCACATTATTACAGAAGACCACACAGTTACTTGTCCTTCATGTTCATCTGAATACCAAATGCTAAGATAACACTTTACTTGATGGCTGTAAAGTTCAGTACCTCTGAAGCAGACTGTTTTGCAGAAATGGAAAGAAAGTAAGGACAAGAGACTGAAATCCCCATGTAACCAGAACTCTATTTGCACTAGTTTCTTGGATAGAACAATGGCACCTGCTGATTTTATGGTAAGTTTCCCTTGTCAATGCTCATCAGCCCTGAACACCTACACAGTCTCATTCTCAACTGCACACCCTATCTCAGGCCACATTCTACCACCACTACTCAGCTTTCTCCACCGTTCTCCATCACTCAGCCTACAGGACCTCAGAGTCATTTATCATCACAGAGGCTCCATGTATTTCTTTATAAAATAAGCAAAACTGTATGTCCTTCCTCCTAGGATAATGGCGAGTGATGCAAGGCAGTCAGAGATCACTATTGTATGGCTCCACTGCTGGGATTCACAGGAGCTTGTCACCCATGCACTGCGCTCTGTGGGCTCAAGGATAGCATGTTCCATGCAGATACTTGAGTCCCAGCTGCAGAGTGGGTCTCCCTTGTGTAAGATGCTGCCGCCCTGAGGCATCATCCTACTAACATCATCTTAGGTAGAAACAGAAGTTGCATTTATGCCGCCATAAAGATTTGTATGGTGGCACGACTGGCGAGCAAATAGCCCTACCCTTTGTTGTGCCATACCAGTGTCTCTGACATAAAGTGGTAATAAATTGTGTGGCTTTACTGGAGCAGACATCTGTTTGCTCTGCTGTGGGAGAGCACAGGTGGCTCCAAGCTGCTCACGCTCCCCAGCTGTCCTGGGCAGGTGCTCTAGGGCCTTGAAGGGTCTGATCCTGGGCACCCCAGGTAGGACTGGGCACTTCAAGTCCCCAGAGCACTTGCCTGGCTTTCCCTGCTTTCAGAGAAAGAGAGTGTCCTGGGGGGATCTTGGGACATGTTTCTGTAGGTGGGGGAGCCCCCCAACATCCTGGCACAGGCAGCGTTTTCCCCTTTTGTAAAGGCACAGGGGGGGTAAGGAATCTCCTTGAAGGGTAAATTTAGTAGCCCCCACTCAGACATGTCCCAAGACTCCCTTGGGTGCATCTGTGTAAGTGGGAATGCCAGGCACATACTCCAGGGGCTTGACCTGCGCCAGGGTGCCCAGGAACAGCCGCCTGGGACAACAGGACCCTGCCTTGGCACATGGCAGTGGAGGAGGTGGCAACCCTGGGGCACAGGGACACGTTACCCCTTGTCCCGCCTAGGGCGCCACATAACGTGGGACAAAGGTCAATACGCGCCTCCCGCTTAAAGCCCCTCAGCTGTGGCAGGGCGCGGTTCGGCACATCTGTCTGCCCCTCCCCCCGGCCCCGCCTGAGGGACTCCGGCTCCCGGCATGCACCACGCCGCGTCCGGGGTCACTGACACCGGCGTGACGGTGGGTGGAGCGCGTGCAGGGACCCCCGCCCTCACGGGGGACGCAATGCGCGCCGGGAGCTGTAGTCCCTACCCCCGCCGGCTCCGAGCTCCCGCACATGCGCACAACCACCCCGGCGCGATTCATTTTATTTCTTCCCCCACCCTTCTCTCCCGCCCTGCCCCACTCCCGCATCGTAAAGGAGCCGGGCGTTGCGCCTCGAGGCTACGGGCTGCAGCGAGGAGCCGCCGAGGCCCCAGTCACGCACCTGGCCCAGCGGACGTATCGCGATACTTTGTCTCGCGCAGCGGAGGCTTGTGCGTAATTTTTTTCTTTTTTTTTTTCCACCCCCACACTGTCCTGAAGCTCCGCGCCCGCGACTTATGTGACGCCGCCGGAACTGACGGAAAGGAGGCGGGGCCGTCCGGCCGGGTTCG